GAGAAAGATGGTTGTCCAAATGGCTGCCTAAGACTTTGGGACACGACATACTTCGCGGTAGCCCACACCGACGAAGGAGTTTTTCTTTGGGAACCCTAACCGGGGCCTTTGACTCAAGAGTCTGATCGGCAAGCCAGCGGGAATTTGTGACGAATTGCTTCACTCCCACCCGGATACATAAGATATCGGTGTAAGGATCGTAGTCTCCTGTCTACCAAGTCCGGGCGCATTCACCAAGTCAAGTATTCATACCCCTCCGCCTAAATACATCCCGATGTGTCTCTAGAGCTCAATGGGCGATAAATCCGAACAGAAGATTCATTTCTTCAAATCCGCAACATAAATGAGAAGAAACACAGTGTCACTCAAGCTCAAACTCATTCCAAGTCATTTGCCACGCAAAAAACAGATTCATTGAAATACGCCTGGATAGTGACCATTCACAATCACAAACCTGTCTATGAAAACCGTGAATTGATGGTCGCACAAGTCTGGTCTTGGTGGTTGATACTACCTCACCTTCTATTAAAACCTTTGACGTCATATTATTAGTGACATTATTTTCATACACACTTGAGTCCAGACTGTGCGGCAATCTTTATAAGGAAAAAAGGTCCGCGATTTGATCGCGGGCACGATACTGCTAGGTTGCCCTAGCCAAAGTAGGTGAATTTTCTTAGGGACTTCATAACCGGAATCTTTGGCTAACCAAAGCCTGACCTGCAAGACAGCAGGGCGGTGTGTGAAAACCGCAATCCACTGGGGGCCGGTGTCCACCTCATCTTTGATAAATTGCACAAACCCATGTTCGTAACCTTTATGGTGAAAATTGTTACGGCGGAACTGAGTTCAGAAGCGCTCGTGCTTTCTGAAGTTTTGATTTACATGATACAGAGCCTAACTGGAGTGATCGAGATTGTATGCCTTGCATCTGTCATTTGTAGGGCAAAGCGGAAACTCAGAAGACTCAATGGAAAGCTATAAGGAACCTATTGTCAAAATATACGTAATATACTGATTTTGTTGATTGACTAGTAAAGAATTGTATATAAAGAACAAAATAAAAACTATTATTGTTCAATAAGGTGTAGAAATGCGTACCGGCACATGTACAAGAAAACAACACCAGTTCGAGAACACCGTTCGACAATATACAGGAATTACCTGTACAATAGTTTACGGTGAGAGAGAATTCAATGAAAATCTTTTAAAAGCAAATGCTAGTGTGCAGCCTAACATCGACTAACCTCTGTATCAAGATCGAGAAGCTGTGCCATTCGTTGAAGTCGAATTTTTGTGTAGTATTCGGCGATTACACGAATGTTATGCTCAACTAATCGTGAATGCAAGTCTTCCCAACGCTTTTCGGCACGAGTAGCAGACTTTTCAGTCGAAAACACATCCGTTTCGGAATGAAGCAAAGTTCCGTATCGGTTGCGGAAGTCGTCCCAGCGAAGCAACTCGTGTGTTGTAAAGGCTTTCAACATCTCTCTGCGGGGAAACAATAGGTAAAAAACAACATAATACTAATGAACATCGTACACATGAACGGCAAGATAGACCAAGAGAGAAACGTGGGAAAGAAACGTAGATGTGGTCAGTAGTACCCACGATTTTGTGGCCGACAGTAACTAAAGTGAACAGAAACAAAAAACGTAGGGCACAACAAAGTGTGAGGTTTGGTAAAGTTCAGTAACATGTTTAGCTAGTAGACTTCCAAGATACCCAGACTTGGTTAAAAATTCGGAGGGGATTTTACCGGAGGCTATCATTACTCGAAAGACAGTCTGCATCATCATTATTTTCGAACAGCGAAATACGGTAACGTATGGCTCCCAGTCAGACCCATAAGCTATTCGTATATAATGTTCCATACATCTGATTTGCTCCTGAGTGCAATGCCACAAGGTTGCCCCGGACAAAACGGTGAATATTCTTGAGGACTTCACGACTAAAGCCTTTTGCTAGCCAAAGTCTGACCAGCAAGGCAGAGGGGTCGGCGTCTAGGGCATCAGATCCTACACCCTTTGGATGGAGTCAAACGTCCAAAATGTCCAATCGAGCCGGTGAACACTGNAAACAGTGGGTGTGTGAATCCCACGTCTCTTCTTGGTTGGTGTGGAATCAGGGTTTTCACCATCTCCTCTGGATAAACTACCAGTGGTTCACCAACCCGATTATAGCTCCGACGTTGGCTTTTCGTTCCCTCACGTTGGTGGGGAAACACGTCCGCCACGAGAAGGCAGTGAGTGGGGTCTTCCTCAGCAGAAGCTATTTGAGACGCTTGGTTATTTAGGGTCGCTTCGTGAGGTGTAAGGGATTGGTGATCGGTCACAATCCGAGACGACTACCCACCCCGACCATACTGAGGCTTTTGGAGATTGATTTATGATAGACAGGTACGAATGTGTAAGGTTGACAGGGAGTGGGCCTGCACAAAAGGTGTCCTAACCAGCTAAGCCGACTCATCTAATTTCGGTATGATAACGGTTTTTTCATTGAAGCACACCCGGATGCCTCACGGCTTATTTAGAGATTACGTATCCGCTAGTTGCACCCAGCTCCATCAAACTACGCAATATTGACAGAGTACCAGTGAATGAATATACCCAATACGCATGTTGAAGTACTTACAAGCACAGAGAACTGATCGTGCAGTAGTATATAGTGTACGCGACCCTTCAATTTTGAGGAAGCGTGTTCACAGTATTTCAGTTCTGCGTACTGCTAACTCCTGAGTAGCGCTACTGTCATTTCTGAGTCAAGTACATGTAATAGATTACAGCCAACTCCGGATCATTGAGTTTCCAAGTAAAAGTGCCAACTTTCCTTTAAAGGTGCAAAACCCGTACATAATAAAACGGTATAACTTAATAGGATGTCACGTGCGCTTTGCGAACCATCCACATTCAGACACACAGATGATGTCGTTAGCGTACTCCAAATTGATTAGGTTTCACTCCAGTTAAGAAGCACAATGACCTCATTGAAGTAACGAGTGACGAACTGATCACCACAGCCGCGCTCGAGTTGGAAATCTTCCAGGTGTTCGTTTTTGTCAAAGGATTCACGTGGCGAAATATTAGAGGTTAGCACTTTCACGTTTATTGAAATAAAACATTTCATGGATTTGCCTTCGAAAGCCTTAATATGGTTTGGGTCAAGTCGTGACTGCTTACTTCTTGCACTTCGAAAAATGCCTATAATACAACCAAGCGTTCTGAATAATCTCTGCTAAGGAAGCTCTATTCAATGACTTTCTGTGGCGGCGCTTCTGCATTAAGATAACCGTATAAAAACCAACATTCATGGCTATAACTGGGTCGATAAGTCACTGACAGTTCACCCGAGGGAGCTAGCTGAAAACATTATTCCAAACCAACCAAATAGAGACATGGGGAACCGCACCCACATTTTCTGGTTTTGGTAATGGTCATTGACTTGATTGGGTATCGAAGAGCGGCTTGGACATTTGAGCCCTCCCGAAGGGTGTATAATTTGATCAATTGAACCCCAACTCCCAGCTGACCGTGGTTCTTCACATTGTGCCGCTTACCAGGGGCTAGTCGAAGGCTCCAGTTATGAATGCCCCAAGAAAATTCAACCACTGACCTTGGTGACCTGGCAGTATTCCGCCCTTGAGCAGACCATGGATCTACTTTTTTATGAAAACTGCTTTGTGTGGCGCGCAGTCCGGACTCAGATGGGTTTTAAATATGATAAAATAGCAGTTTCCATGGTGGTCTTCGTAGTCGTGATGTTTTCCGTGTTTATAAGATGCGATTCAATGACCAGATTTGATTTGATAAAACAGTGCTAGCACCTGCGAGTCATGTCGCACTAAAAGACACTGGATTTCTCGGATCAGTAATCATGATGGAACACAAACGAAAGATCCCAATCTACTGGAATTAACACAGGTACCGGTGGCGTCTGCAACGTCAGCTCAGAAAAAGCCTTAAGAAAGATGGTAAAAACCGATGGGCCGAAATAGCTAGTGAAATGGAGGTAGCTTCTGCATCAGGGAATGATCATAGACTTTTAAGTTCTGTAACTCCATTTGGTGAGCGCTTTGCACTTTCAAAGTGTAAAGTGACGCTAGAACATTAGGTGTTGTTTACTCCGGCGCTGATGCCTGATGGATCGTTTCTCCTATTTAGGGAGCTGCGTATCAAATGACGGTAGCGTAGTAGCCGCCCACTTCTACCCGGTTCGATCAGCTTACGCAGGACTGAAACACCTTTGGTGCCGACGTGATGTTTTGTCGGAACTGAAAGGTTGTGTATACTGCTCCACTGTGCGGTCAGTTGTTTCACGATTGAAAGACCCTGAAGTTATTCTATATTGCGCTACCGTTCGTTCAGTTTTGTTTTGTGGTTGTGGGATCCTGAGTTCCCGAAGCGAAGATATCCATCAACCAGAAATTTTCGATTTTTGGTGCGTACTACATTCGTAGTTTGGTGCACGTGAGATGGAGCGAACGGTAATCTGGAAAAAAGCCGTCGTGTGTCTGAGAGGTAATTGGGAATAAATTGGTTAGCGCGTCGAACCCAGATTAATACGCTTTGCTGGTTAGAAAACACGTTGCTTGCACTCAGCAGTCTAATACATCGCACCTTTTTCGCTATAGCCCATCGGGGGCTGGAGAAAACCACGTGGAGGTCAACGGATAGCGTAGAGACGAGGCATGAAGAAATGCACTGAGCTACTAAGCAAATTAGGTGTCTCTCGCCTTCCATGTTGGGGTCCGTAAGGCTCTGTAACTGGTTGGTTGGAGGCACTCAAGGTTATAGCTGTGAACCGACAGCAGTGGTGTTCTTTTGGCCACCTCTTATCAGGCCAGAATGTTTCAAAAGTTGTGTCCATTTAGGTTATGCACTGTGTTGATTACAGAACTTCAATTTCTTTCGCCTTTCCATCTAAGCCCAAAACCCGTTCACTAATTATGTATGTATTGCGTTTTTGGCAACGATTTGTGCTTCACCGGATTTCACTGCAAGATGATGATCGTGACGCCTAACTTAGCGGGACCTTAGGTAGTTTACCACTCCAAGCCTCGGGGCTTATGTCGTCGGTTTCCATGAGTGAGCGATAGGTATTATCACTGATGTGAACGATATGGTTCACAATTTTTAGTTTTTGCCATACGTGGTTAGCTTGGACTCGCTCAACATCATTTCGCAAGCAATAGCATCGCTTAAGGTTGAATGGAGTAATTTCGGTTCGACTGTGGATTTTGATTCTTTAGGTGCTCGCGGAAGCTGCAAATAATTATAATGCACCGGGGCAAAACTGATTCAGTAAAACTACGACGGCTTGCACATTTGTGAATCTCTAATAATGAGATTTTGGCATTCAACAAATAACTGCAAAGGGAGCCAAACCGAAAGATTTTTGAGTGTAACATTCTATATATATATAGTATGAAAAGGAAACATTTAACACACCAAACGTTCCATCTTATGTAAAAACTCACAAATAAGCAGGTATTTTCTCCATGTCACCCAGAGTTTTTCTTCGGCACATTAAATCATGCTGCTCATTGTCGTACTTCGCTAACATAAGATAAACTATAACGTGTTTCAAGGCCTAAAATAAAATGGTTTATTAAAATGTTCCAATAACTCACCAACAGACGCTTGGTTTCATCTTCCTGAATACTTTTTGTGTTGTACACTTCCCAGTAATGTTTGCTAATATTAAGATATTGGTCATCTTCTAAATTCAGCTCAATCATGAGATGGTAATATTTAAGTTTCAAGTCTTCATGGGCACCATCGCTGAAGAATTTGGGTGATATTTTACGACTAATAATCTGAGTGCGAATATAATCTTTCTTCGCTAGTCCGAGACGTATTTGTTCCAGCATAAATTCTACCTTCTCCTTTTTTTCCATGGATCCAAAAGTTTCAACCTGCAAGTTACAACTATAATGGTATGCTTTTCATCATACTTGGAGATCTTGAAGAACAGAAGCTGCTTCGTCAATTTGCCCATGTGACTCTTTTATTCGAGCAAGCTCTCTCGTCAGACGAGCGCGTTCCACTTCGACATAAATCTGAGTGAAACATGAAAACATATGAAAAACTATTTACCTTTCCCTCTGTAACGCGCCTAAGGGATGCAATAAGAGCAAGTTTTGTCTCTTCATTTGGTGTTGCGTCCAAGTATGTCAAGGCCTTTTGCACCATCTTAGTGACCGCCTGTGAGAATGGATAATTATAACTGTGCAAAACAAACCTGTTTCAGCTGATTTCGTTTTTTAGTCATTGCTTCTAAATGTCGATTTAGATGTTCCCATTTTTTGCCTTCGGCTAGGATTTCCACCATTACTTCTAGCAAACGACCAGTGGATATGGCGTCTGAGGCCTACAAAAATGAGCTTATCACTCAAAATGCTCATTAGGAATAACCATGCGAGTCTGTTTTTCTAAGGCGATGCACTGTTCCAAAGCACCGTCAATATTTCCTGTCTAGAAAACCACTAAAATGGCTTATATTCTGACGAACCTGTGCTAACGACTTCACCACGGGAATTAATTCGTCCACAGTGGTGGAGTAATCAACATCCATTTTTTGCAAGCGTCCATCACTCATTCTCCCTAATTAAAGCTGAA